AGAGAGACAAAGACAGCTATATCTTTAGACTTAGGTCACTTAACAACACATTTTTTCAAAAGTTTGCTTCCTGTAAATCGCTTGGTGATTATGATAAACATCTTCCAACTGAATGCAAGTATAATTTCAGAATGACTGTATCTCATAGGAACCTTGAAAAATATAAAATTAACTTTTAATGACAATCATGTATTTAATGGCATAATGCTTCGGACAGGCTGTATGAGATCCCCAGAGCTAAAAGTGTTTTGCTGATTATTTTCATTTGCACTCAATGTCTGAAGCATCTCACTGCAATGTTCAACAATACACAGCCAGCACTGATGGATTCCCAAAGAAACATCTTTCTAATGGATTATGCTCATAAGCCAAGACCGTTAACAAACTGTCAATGTCAGCACAGAAAATGAGGTAGTCAACCTGTGTAAAGAAATTTGTTAAATAATTCTGGCAAAAACAGAAGATTTTTTTTTAATAAAACTGTACTCGAGAGGTTAAATTACAGGTTATTTTTGTTCTGTATTGCACATTAACATTCTTGCAATACTGCGTCTGGATTGGCCAGGGCGCGCGGCATTCGGATTGGCCAAGCGAGCCGCATTGATTGGCCCGTTGCGAATCCCCCGCGATTGGAGGAAACCGATCACGGGAGATTCGAAGCGGTGTCATTGGCTGCAGCCAGCCGGCCAGCTCAATATAAGCCGCCACCGATCCCCACGAACCGAGTCGATCTCGAGACTAAATAAAGAGCTGAAAAAGAAGTCACTGACTCCCGCACCTTTTTCGATCGGCATATACAACAATTTTTGTGATTAGCAGTCAAAAATCTGTAGGATACACCTCAAAGTGTCCATGAACTAAAATCTTTGTTTTCCAGTGATTAGGATAGCATAGGAGAGTTTGAATAACCAGCATTGTAACATTAGTTTAATATCTGCTTCCCTGAATATATCCTTTTGTTGAGACAAAAGATAAAGCCTCATTTCTGTGCAAACAAAAATACAGAGGTTGCTTAAAGTCAGATCTTTATCTTAAAATAGTCTTTTCTTGGAAACCTATTGTATTATGTTCATTTAAAAATGAACCATTGATCAGAAATACAATATCAACTGATGAGCGCAGCCAAAACAATTAGACATATAACAAGTTGCAAACACACTTCAGTGCAACCCTGTGTATAAAATTCTTAATGTTCTTCCTTCTTTGTGGTACACTACTTACTATTAGTCAACGTTTGCACTCTAAGGCTCAGAGAACCTTTGTCCTAAGAACATTTCTGCTTACTCTGCCACACCTGAAGTTGTACATTAGTATTGCTGTTGCTTTGGGTAGCTCAGCTATTATAACATACCAGGCTAAGTATACTTTTGTCATAAGACAAGACCTTTGAATTTTGTTTCTGAACTATGATGAAAAAAAGTTTATTGTTGTTGGTTGTTTTAAAACAGTTTTCCTCAGTTTCTTAATTGTTTCAAGTAATCCCCAGATTCTTAAAACTTATATTGAAAGGTGTATTAAACTGTAAAATGACAGTTTTATATTTTTGAAAAATGGTTATGTGAAAATCTGTTCCAGGATTTCAAGGTTAATGATGCCACAATACATAAGGAAGTATTTGTCAGTTGGTGTTTTCCCCTACTTATATGCTTATCTCATAATGGTCTCTTGAATATTGTGAAATCTTGTATTAAGTAAATATATCACGTAGGAGTCTTTTCCAATGTTGTTTTATAACTGTAGCAGGAAACACTGCCAAAAGCTAACAAAGACATGAACAGTTTTAAAGATGTAGCCTATTTTGAATTAATTAATGTATTATTCTGTTATACTTTTGGTCAGTAGAACTGAACCAATTTGCCAACACTTTTAAATTTTATGTCCAAAGTTGTCTTAATATTTGACTTCCACAAGTTTTTTTTCTTCAAAGCACACTATTAAATCAGATGTGTGATACCAAGATGATTTGGTAAATTAGCAATACAGCTAGTCCTTGAGAGACAGCTATAATAAGCCTGCCCATTAAAGTTGCATGTTGCAATGGCTGTTTAGTGAAGCACCTCACTTAATGATCTTCCATCCGTGCTCTTCCAATACAATCATTAAATAAACATGCAGTTGTTAAGTGAAACACAGGGTGCCTCAAAGTTGGGGGAAGCCCTTGGAGGCTTACCATAGGCCCAGGTTCACTGCCTGCCCTTCCCAAGTCCCTCCCCATGACATGATACCCTGTGCTCCGTTTCTTGCCTCTTGGATCCCCACAGGTCTTTTCCCACCCCCATTACATCCCCCTCCAAAGGTTTAGGCCTGATTCCCTCCCACCAAGCCAAATACCCTCTACCTTTTGGAAAGCTCTGAGAACTTTAAGAGTGCTAGAGTGGGTGCTTCATTACATGACCATGTGGCATGATTCCAGAAGCAGCGGTGATATATACAGCTCCCAGAATGCAATTTGGCTACTAGAAACATAGGTAATTGAGAAGGAATGTATGGGGCCTAGTAGGGATCAGGCCTAAGTCCAGTTGAAACCTGTTGGGGAAATGTTTGCAGGTGATGGTGGGGGAAGATAGGTAGAAGGTGGCATTGTATCATCCCTGCAGTTGATTGTTAGGGCAAATGAACATGGGGGTGCTGTAGCAGCTGTAACTTTGGGACCTGGTCATAAGTAGCTTTTGGGGAGACTGCCATCATTTAGAACAGCTGTTAAGCAAGTGATCATAAGGGAATATGAGCAATGAAAGTTCCATTCAGGAACAGAACTTTAGCACAAAGGAGGACTTTATTCTAAATCAGTGGTCACCAACCAGTGGGCCAGAGACTACTGGTGGTCCATGAGAAAATTTTGGTGGTCCGCAGAGAAATGTTACCCCCAAAGCACTTCCCAAAGCAATTAATCCAGGGTGTGCAGGAACACAAGGCTGTGCCGCCCACATGGGCTGTGGGAACACAAGGCTTGCGTTGCTTGCACTGCGAACAGGTAGTGAGGGGAAGGGGGAAAGGGTGGAGGAGGGGAACTTGCCCACTCGCCCCACCTGCCTCATCTGGCCACCGGGCTGCTTCTTTCCGCTTCTTTCTTCTTCTGCTTTTAGCTGCATGCAAGGAAAGCAGCAAAAGTCTTTTTTTTCCTCTCCCCCATGAGTCTTTGGGACCCTGCAAGGCATCCTGCTCCAAGAGGCTGTGCCAGACAAGTCTCACAAAGATTTTGCTAAGACTCATTTCTTGTGGAGTTTGGGGGATAGAAAGAAAGACTTCTTCTGCTTCTGCTGTTTTCCTTGCATGAAGCCAAAAGTCTCTCTCTCTTTCTCTCTCTCTCTCTCTCTCTCTCTTTTTCTCTCCCTGAGAATGGAGTTGGAACAGTATCCTGCAATCCCAAATAAAGAATGATCGATCAGTAGGAAAGGGGTGGGGAATTTTCCTGCAGACTTTTTATGGAATTTTCCCAGGATCTCTGATCCATGGGATTTAAAATTATGAGTTTGGTGGTCCCTGAGGTCTGAAAGGTTGTTGACCCCTGTTCTAAATGACTTGATGGTTGACACTGGAAGCAAAGCCGTCATCCTTGCAGGCCTAGTGTCAAAACTCCTAATGATGGTCCCACAATTTCTTCACATCAAAGATTACATTGATACCAGAATTCTTGATTTTTTTTTGGCGGGGACATATATTTTGGACTTTGATTTTGTACATTCTTTATCTGCTTAAATCTTGGATTTGGGATTGCCTACAAATTCTTCTGTCAGTTATTGGCTTTTTGCATTTCTGATCTTATTACAGTTATCCTGACCAAGATATCCTGGATAGGACTTTGTCTTTAGAAAGTGAGGAAAATCAAACTTGTTATATGAATTTATCAGAATTTCTAGTTGTTCCATTTAACATTTGAAAATAACCTGGGTTTTATCTAAATGTTTGCTATTGCTTCTTAGCTATTTTTATTTGGTAGGCACAAGCTCTAGATTAATTTGTTCAGTGATATATTTGTTTGTTTTCTTAGCTGTTCATGGTATTCTCAGGTGTCATCTCCAACACCAATCGTGTTTTCAGTGTATTCCTTGACTTTTAATACTAGGCCTTGCAGATCCTTTGCATTTTCTTCTATCAAGATACTGTCATATCAACATAATATATTTAATATTAATAGATGCTAAGCAGACATTTATCTGCATTGTCATTAAAACAAGCTAATGCACACAGGTATTAAAATATGTGGAATTATGAGAAATGCACACTTTTCATTTACACTTTCCTCTGTTTCTTCTCCATGAAGACCAAGGGCGCAAAATTGGGTTTCCTGGTACATTATGAAGTGTTTGATAGAATTAATGAAACATATAAATACTGTAAACGCAAACACTGAGCTTAAATGAAATTGGATATATTTGTATGAAAAAATATAGATAGGTTGTAGATTTAACTCAGGGTTAGGGTTATTATATAGATGCAAGCCTTTTTAAAAGATAAATCTAATTACGTCTGTCTGCATTCGTTTGCAATATGTTGCAATATAGTATGACATACAGTATGACATACAGCAGACACATAGTTGTTTATGGCTTCGCAATTTAGTGTTAATGAATAACTTGATCCTTTGATAACTCATGTAGGTTACTTATTGCTTTTATTGTTTCTGGGCTTCCGAACAATATAAAATACTTTTAATGCTTATATTTATTGTAACTTCAGGTCAATGAACTCATAGAGGGACATTTTAAAAATGAACTATAAATGTATTTATCTTTAAAGAGAAACTGAATAAACAAAATTTAAGCTTGCTCTGCCCTTCAGAAAAGAAAGATACAGCTACAAACACACGCAC